AACAAAAGTTTGCTTTAAGCCAAAAACTTTAAATCTCCCCAAAAGAATAGAAACTAATAGTCAATACTTTGAAGTGTCTTTATTAATATCTATAATTAAATTTCTTCTAAGTCCAACATAACTCCAGTAACATCTATCATATTGATGTGGAAGAAAAAGGACAACTACATAAAGTTTTCTCACTACTCATAATTTTGGTCAAAAACTCCAATTGTGAGAAAATCAGACATTCCAGGAAGAGAATTTATAATTATCAACTCATTTTTAAAAAGTCACTAAAACCACCATCACATAACATCTTTTATCACTACCTCACAGGAATCCTAATTTACCCCACAAGATACAAAAAGTTTCAAAAGTTACTGTCAATATCATGACCAACTATTTTTTCTGGATTTTGACATTGTGGATAATACTTTTTCCAGTCATCTCTTTTATTATACAGGGATCTCAGACAGAAAGAGTCTATAACGAAAAATATAATTTTAAACAAAAATATAAATTAAAACCAAAGACAATAAACTGAAGTTTCACATCTGTATTTGTCAAAGATGAAGTAGTAAATAAGAAAACTCAATTTTGAAGAAAATTTTAAAAACCTCTCAAAATAGTAAGACATTCCTTTGTAAATCAATACAAAGGAACACCTGGAATCTAAGTCTTCAGACCTTAAAAATCCAGTTCTTACTTTATACAGGAAGTAAAGAATACTGGATCATAATTTCTTAAAGGTTTAAATAAAACCCAGAGTTTAAATAATCTTGGCAGTGTCCTGCCCTGGTTTTTCCCCAGGGCTGATTCCCATTTGGGTCAGTCTCTACCGTAAGCCTCTACACCACATCTCTTCACTTGCTCTTAGTTCCTCAGGAAGAACTTTAAGAAATGATCATTTAGGATGAAGCTGTTTATAGGTGGCTGACTTAAAAGATAACAGCAAGGTTTTTGTTTTTGAATTATCTTTTATTGATTTAATTCAATGTACTCTTTCTTGACTTCATTTTCTTTTTTGCTTTTTATTTATTTATTTTTTAAAACAGCTTTATTGAGGCATAATTGACGTGCAATAACCTGAACAAATATTTAAAGTGTATAATTTGAAACGTTTTAGCATTTGTTGTACACCTATAAAACCATCACTACGACCAAGACAGTGAACACATTCATCACTGCCAGGTTTCCTATGCCCCTTTGTAGGCCTCCCCTGTCACCGACTCTTTGCCCTCCCCATCTTCAAGCAATCACTGGTTGATCCGCTTTCTGTCATTATAGACTAGTTTGAATTTTTCTAGACTTTTATATAAATGGAACCACACAGTATGTAGTATTCTGCATCTGGCTTCTTCTTTCACCATAATTATTTTGAGATTCATCCATGATGCTACCTGTACCAATAGTTCATTCCTTTTTATTGTATTAGTTGATTTTCAATAACCCTCTTCCAAACATTCAAAATTCTAATAAAAAGGACTTTAAATGATTCTGTTTCTTAAAAAAGCTTGCTCAGAACACATTCCATGTTTTTCTAAGAATAGAAGTTATTTTATGCAGATGTATATATTACATGGTATTTTGGAATGATGTGAATAATCTTGCTACACAAAAACCAACATGGTTGAATACTTTTATTCATGCTTGATACTGTTTCAGGCTTTTTGACAGTACTATAATAAACGTATTAGGTTATTAAGTACGGAATGTCCAATTTCCTTAAGTACTAAGTTTGAGAGTTGATATCTCTGACATTTCTCTTTCGCACTTCCTTTCTTTATTATTGTGAAGGCACATCCTCATTCTTTCAAACGCATGTTTTGGCTTGTGATTATCTTTCAAATTTTTTTTTAGAGCAATCTTTGTGAAACCATGGATAAGAAAAAAATTTGTGTTATGGCCAGATGCAGTGCCTCATGCCTATAATCCTAGCACTCTGGGAGGCCAAGGCAGGAGGATCACTTGAGGTCAGGAGGAGCTCAAGACCAGCCTGAGCAAGAGCGAAATCCCATCTTCTCCATTAAAAATAGAAAAAATTAGCTGGGTAACTAAAAATAAAAACAAAATATTAGCCAGGTGTTGTGGTGAACGCCTATAGTCCCAGCTACTCAGGAGGCTGAGGCAGGAGGACAGATTGAGCCCGGGAGTTTGAGGTTGCCATGAGCTAGGCTGATGCCATGGCACTCTAGCCGGGGCAACAACAAATTCATGTTATTTTTGAATATGAGTTCTGTTCTAGAACCAATGCAATGCAGACAGCTCGAAATATCAATGAAGTGTTTGGGAAGAATGTGGCTAATGAACGCACGGTATATTGACAGTTTAAAAAGTTCCATTCCTGGTGATTTTAATCTTGAAAATGAGCCACGTGGGTGACCTGAGACCAAGGTGGATAATGATGAGCTGAAAGCTGTAGTGGAAGCACATCCATGTCAACCTACAGGGGAATTAGCAGCAAGGTTTGATGTTACTATTCCAACAATATTGGACCATTTGAAACAAATTGACAAGGTAAAGAAGCTGGATAGACAGGGACTGCATGAATTAAACAAGCATCAGAAGAGAAATCATCTCAAAGCTTGCCTTTCTTTGCTGTCACGACATAAAGGCAAACCATTTCTGTACCATATTGTTACGTGTGATGAAAAAAGGATTCTTTTTGACAATTGCAAGCGTTTGGCTCGTGGTTGGATAAAGATGAAGTGCCAAAACACAGTCCCAAACTGAATATTCATCAAAAAAAGCTAATGGTGTCTGTTTGGTGGTCCAGCACTGGTATTATCTGCTACAGCTTCATGAAACCTGGTCAATCGGTTACAGTGGATGTCTACTGCAACCAATTGGACGAAATGATGGGGATACTTGAAATTAAGCAGCCAGGATTGGTCAATAAAGACAGGCTAATCCTCTTGCAAGACAATGTTTGACCATACATCGCACAATGTTGCTCAAACTACAGAAGCTGGACTTGGAAACTCTCTGTCATCCACCATATTCACCAGACTTTGAACCGACTACCACTTCTTGCAGGCTTTGGTCCACTTCTTACAAGGAAAAATATTCAATTTTCAACAAGCTGTGGAAAACGCCTTTGACAATTTCATCGTCACTTGTTCTCTAGGCTATTTTGCTGCTGGCATAAGCAAGCTACCGTTAAGAGCCAAACGCTTGCAATTGTCAAAAAGAATCCTCTTTTCACCACACGTAACAATATGGTATAGAAATGGTTTGCCTTTATGTCGTGACAGCAAAGAAAGGCAAAACAGTGTTGATAGCTCAGGCGCATACTTTGATAAATTGTACTGCTTTTTGTTTGAGATATAATAAACTAAACCTGTGAAGCGAAATCAGACATTTCATATTTAATGACCTAATAATAATTAACTGACAGAACATATTCATCAGATGAAAACCCATTTAAAAGTAACCATATTTGCATAGTCTTAAATACAGAATTTTTCTTATGATACAGTTTAATTGTATATGGTTATCACAAATAAATCTATAAGAGAAACTGATATTTACCTTTTAAAATAGCAAATTTCTATCTACCAAAATTGAAACCATGCCACACGGACATTAATGGTCAGTTCTCTCTTTCAAAGGCATCAATCCCTTACATTTTAGTTTTAACTGGAGTGCAGAATGAGAAAAAAGACAGGGAAGGAAGAGAAATATTACCTGTTTTCCTAATTTTCTAACTGTAAACCAGTGTTCTTTATAATTGCATATAAATGATCTTTCATTTCTAGAAAAAAATACATACACAATATTAAGTTGAAATATTGAGTTCAAATTCATTTAGTCTACTAGCAAGTATTACATAAATTTGGTGATAATTTAAAGATTATGTTTACAGTTAAGTATCGCTGATTTTTTAAAAAATTACACAATTTTATGAGCCCCTCCGCAGTAGCCTAGTGATGCTGTGCCGAAATGACAGCCTCACTACCACTCAAGGGTCAGCTCTGATGCCACAGACACTGGGGTGTCAGGAAGGCTCAGAGGGTAGATGCTCATGGACATCACAAAGGGAAACAGGGGCCAGGCACAGTGGCTCATGCCTGTAATCCTAGCACTTTGGGAGGTTGAGGCCAGAGGATTGCTTGAGGCCAGGAGTTTGAGATTTTTATCTCCATAAAATATAAAAAGTAAAAAAATTTGCCAGGTGTTGTGTGCACCTGTAGTCCTAGCTACCTGGGAGGCTGAGGCAGGAGGATGACTGGAGCCCAGGAGTTTGAGCTTGCAGTGAGCTATGATGATGCCACTGCCCTCATGCCCTGGCAACAGAGTGAGCCCCTGTCTCATTTAAAAAAAAAAAAAAAAAGGTAAAATATGGAAGTCTAAGGGAATAAAACAGAAATAAGGACTATCAAAAAAACAAAAGCATCCAAAATATATTTCTCTTCTTTAAGAAAGCATAACTTTAAAAATGAAGTTTAGGAAAAGAAATGTAAGAAATACAAAATAAAATCTTACATAGGATCAATCCTGAGCCTCTGATACTCTGGGCTGTTGAACAGGATTAGTTCTAAACCCCAAACTTTCAAGGCATTGCTTATAACCTGTTAAAAAAAATAGCAACTTTTTATGAGCTAAGCCATTCAATTCCAAATTTAAGTAGTATAGCCATGTTAGTTACGTAAACAATCATACTTCACGTATAAATTTCTCTAGAAGGGTATGGTCTTAAAAAAGTATGTACGTACAGATATATCACTAAATCCGTAAATAACACACACATATATATTAAAAGTGCTTCTTATACTAGGTTTCTGAGATGTTCCAGAGCACCACACAATTCCTAGATAAAACTGCCTCAAAAATGCAGATGTGTATTCTATCCAGTAAGCACTATTCTTAACACTAGTCCACTACATATATCTGATAATTTGGCTTCTGTGAATGCTGCTTTAGAAAAGTTACATTCGACTCCCTACCTGCAATGTCAATAGTCACATGTCTATTAAAGTAAGTTCTCCCTGGGGATTTAGACAGAAAGTTTCATATATTTTAGACTTCTCTGGTCATAGGTTTGTAATTTGTAGAAAAGAAACAAAAGGCAAACCTGATTATTTCAAACTATCTGAGAAAAAAGAGAAATTTCTGAAAATTCACTGTCTACCCTCCAAGGTAGCCAACAAAGCAGCAAGTGAACCAGGTACTAGCACAGACAAAATGTGAACGCACTGCAGTGGGCAAACATGAACCGGCACCAGGAGCAGCACAGCACAAACGACACGGCAAGAGCTGCGCCAACTCTGACCTCCAGTCCCAGCCCTGCAGTAGCCATTACCTGTAAACAGTGGCACAATGAAGCACGAAGCACTGCGTGGAAATGCTGGCGGATGAGGAGGGTAGTAAAAGGGAAATATAAACAAAGATATTTATAGAAATAGGTTCCTCAGGAGAGGTTCTGAGAGAATTCTAAATATATCTCACAGTATTAGAAACAGAACTAAAGATCCACAGATAAAAGAACTCACAAGTACATATAATACAACTGTAGAATTCAAAGGGAGCTGTAATTAAAAAAAAAAATCAAAAGCCACAAACCATAATAAAGGAATACAATCCTGGTAGGCTGATTTAAATGGAAGGTAGCAAGATACTGCATTTTCTCAAATTTACCCAAGACACAGTAAGTTTAAAATATTGTGACTTATTAGAATTAATGTTATTAGTATCCAGATATAAATTAAATAATCTCTCAAAAAGTAATTTTTAAAAGCCCTCTAAAATGAAGATTCTACAATCCTAATTTTCATCTATATAAAAATCTAGTACTCTAGAGCAGTGGTCCCCAACCTTTTTGGCACCAGGGACCAGTTTCATGGAAGGCAATTTTTCCACAGACCACGGGTCGGGGAGTGGGCTGTCGTGGGTCGGGGAGTAGAGCGGTGCAGAGCTCAGGCAGTGATGCGAGGTCCGTTTCCTAATAGGCCACAGACCAGTATCGGGCCGCGGTCCAGGAGTTGGGGACTGCAGTTCTAGAGTACAATTTTATACTTTTGTAGACATAATCTATTGGAAGAACTTTTGAAGGTCACATCATTACAGTGACTATATAAATAACGCTTAGTATATGCTGGTTACTACTCACCTGAATGGAGAAAAACCCGCTATCATCCATATTTCCAGAAGGCTGCTGTTCATTTTGATAGGTAGTTGAAGCAGGAGTGGGAGTGGGAAAGAAGGATGAAAACTGTCATTAGTGTGCATATTTAAAATATCGCCTTGTGCATTCCCATTTACAAAGTCAAGATCAGAGTCATAATTTACCAGTTAGATCCTTAGAGAAAGAATGGCTCACTCTTTTTAAAATAGTACCCGCAATTTTTTTTTTTTTTTTGAGACAGAGTCTCACCTCTTTTGCCCGGGCTAGAGTGAGTGCCGTGGCGTCAGCCTAGCTCACAGCAACCTCACACTCCTGGGCTCAAGCAATCCTTCTGCCTCAGCCTCCCAAGTAGCTGGAACTACAGGCATGCGCCACCATGCCCGGCTAATTTTTTCTATATATTTTTAGTTGTCTGATTAATTTCTTTCTATTTTTAGCAGAGACGGGGTCTCGCTTTTGCTCAGGCTGGTTTCGAACTCCTGAGCTCAAACAATCCACCTGCCTGCGGCCTCCCAGAGTGCTAGGATTACAGGCGTGAGCCACCGTGCCCGGCCAGTACCCGCAATTTTTAAAAAATGTGACTTAGTGAGTTTAGGAGCACTACCTGTAAAAATGTGCGATAGTCTTCGCTAGTAACTCCTCCTTCTGCCATTCTCATCCTCTCTTCTTCATCTAGCTGATGTGCAATTGAAGATAATTCCACTGGGCTAAAATATTCTCCTTGCAACAGATTATTCAGGCAGTGTTGAGCACAAAGGGAGCCTTCTTGCTAATATTTCCAAAAGAAAAAATTCAAATGTGATTTATTAAACAGATTTGTCAGTATCTTCCCCTAAAATTTTAATCATTAACTTTTAACATAGTCAAACTGAACCTTTTTAGTTTTAGACAAGCATAATTAACATGGGTACATGTATTTTCATTTGTTCACATGTATTTCATAATTCTACCATTAATGAAACTACAATTGCTTAGTTGTATGATCAAAAACTTAAGAATGATTTATATTAAACAAACATTATCATCAAATATATCAAATATCTTATTTACCTAAAAACTACTATATAAAACATTTAGCCTCCCTCATTTTCAGTACCTAAAATAAATACCTCTTTGGAGATTCCGCAGCAAATTACTTATGCTGAAAGGGAATTTTAATCCCTAGAACATTTATTCATTTTTTTTTTTTTAAACAAGGTCTCACTCTGTTGCCCAGGCTAGAGTGCAGTGGCCTCATCGCAGCTCACTACAACCTCAAACTCCTGGGCTCAAGTGATCCTCCTGCCTCAGCCTCCCAGGTAGCTGGGACTACAGGCGTACATGACCACGCCCAGCTAATTTTTCTATTTTTTGTAGAGATGGAGTCTCATTCTTGCTCAGGCTGGTCTCAAACTCCTGGCCTCAAGCAATCCTCCCATCTTGGCCTCCTAAAGTGCTAGTATTACAGGTGTGAGCCACTGTGCCCAGCCTTAGAACATTTATTCTTTTAACAAGACAATCTCTACTCAATCTAAATGCTTGTTCATGGAATTTCAAATCTCCAGAATTGATACAGGTGAGAAAAATTCTGGTCCATGTTAAGACTTATAGTTGTAGAGCTGAAGTTCTCTCTTCAGGGAACTCTATAGATAACGTACATACAGTATAGTGCAATGAGCAGAATAGTCCCAAAACAACCCTATAGCAGCTCACTCCTGGACAAGCCAGCAAGAGGGACTGTATCCATCTCAGCTCCCCATGGGATCACTGGTTTCCTTCTCACGGGAGGTGGGTACAACTTTCCATGGGCCCAGAGTCTTCAGGTGCTAGACAGCTGGCTTTGTCACATAACTGGCATCCTGAATCCAAATCCAGGCTGCCTGGCACTGATTAGCCTGCTTGTCACTCTCCTCGCCCCAACAATGTTGCCTTCCCATGCTACTCTTTAAGAAGGTAGACTCACAGATGGATGGGATCCCTCCCTGTGAACACAGACCCCAGGTTTGCCTCTCTGTGAGATGAAGACAGATAGGAGAACATTTCCTTCTGCTAACCTTGGTTCTCTAAGTTCTCTCTTTCCCCAATAAGGTCTATTCCTCAACCCAACCTATCTGACATCATGCAATTTACTCTGAGCTATGTCACATGGTAGATAGTGACCCTAAAGAGCACCACCTTGCAAGATAGGTATTTTTCCTAATGAATCAATTTTCTAGGAACAAAATTCAGCTGCTGAAAGAGATATAAGGTATATGTATATAACAGAATAGGAAGGCAGCATTGAAGACAGTCTGAGTCCGAGACAAGGGGCTGAGATAAGTTTATTTGCATAGTTTGGTAAGAAATTAACAGCTTGGAGCTAGAGAACCTACTATCCCTCGAGTCGCAGCCATAAGAGTGAGAGACATTTTTGTTTCCACCTTTTTCCTCCTACTGTATTTCTACTACCAGAGAGCAACTCCTACTGAATAATATAATGTGAACTGAAGGGATATATAGATGTTCTACTTATATTCTATAGAAAAATGGCAAGACAAACAAGCATCTCACAAGAGGATAGCCAAATGGCTACACAGAACACAAAAAGGTGTTCCACTTCATTAGTTGTTTTGCAAATGTAATTTAAAACCACAATGTGTTACTACTACAAACTCTTCAGAATGGCTAAAATGTTGGAGAGGATTAGAGACAAAGCTTAACATATACATACCCTGTGATCTAGCTATTCCATTCCACTACTAGGTACATAATGCAAACAACAAAAATGCAAGCATAACTTCATCAAACAATACGTATAAGAATGTTTATATAACAGAAGCACTACTTATAATAGCCCCCAAACTGGACACTAGCCAAATGGATAGTCTGGATCACAATAGAATGGAAATCACAAAAGAATACTATACAAGAATGAATTAACCACAACTATCCGGAACAATATGGATGAATTTCTCAAAAAATGTTTAACAAAACAAGACATACTAAAAAGAGTATACACTGTATGGTTCTATTCACAGAAGCTCAAAAACAGGCAAAACTAATCTATGATGTCAGAATTCGGGATGGTGGTTACCTTTGGTAGGAATGGGGGTGGAAAGTTAGCACCTGGACGAAGGCCTAAAGGGGGCTTATAGTATGCAGGTAAATCTTCTGTTACTTGATCTCAGTGTTGTTTACATGTGTACTCACTTTGTGAGAATTCATCGAGCTGTACTCTTTTTTTAAAGTAATTTATTTATTTTATTTTTCATTTTTTTAAGAGACTGGGTCTTACTATGTTGTCAGGGCTGGCCTAGAACTGCTGGGTTTAAGCAATCCTTCTGCCTTGGACTCCCAAGTAGCTGGGACTACAGGTGTGTACCATTGCACCTGCACTGAGCTGTACTCTTAGGATTTGTGTACTCCTCTATGTGTTATATTTAACAAAAAAAAATCTACACAACAAGAAAAAAGCATCTACTAAGATATAGCTATTCCCACACATCAAGAGTTCCCAATATGGTGACCAGACATTGGATTTTCTGGCAACAGTCCTAACATAAATTTTCTGTCCTGCTGTCAGGCTACATGCCTCAGTTTGGGGTTTGCAAACTATGGTCACCATACTTAGTATCATATTATAGAAACAGTGACATCCAAATATTTGATAAAAATTTCTCTCTACAAAAAATAGCTTTAAATTATGAAAAATAAACACTTGAAATCAAACCTTGTCCAAGTAAAACCATATTGCTATAGGAACCATCAAGTTTTGTCCTTCTAATATGATTTAATGGAAGGAAAGAACAAACTGTTCAATCCAAATGTAAAAACCACTAAGTCACAAGATGGATCAAATTATACAGGGACCAATAAAATTGTAGAATGACACCCACCTAAGAGTATGCATTTTCCTGCCCCATCCCCACCCCGAATTATCCCCAGCCACCTTTTTTTCCTGAAACAGAGTCTTACTCTGTTGCTCAGGGGAGAGTGCCCAGGGTAGGGTAGCTCACAGCAACCTCAAACTCCTGGGCTCAAGTGATCCTCCTGCCTTAGCCTCCTGAGTACTGGGATTACCAGTACGCACTGGCTAATTTTTTCTATTTTTGTTTTTTAGTAGAGGCAGGGTCTCACTCTTGCTCAGGCTGGTCTTGAACTCCTGACCTCAAGTGATCCTCCCGCCTCAGCCTCCTAAAGTGCTAGGATTACAGGCGTGAGCCACCTCGCCCAGCCTCAGCCACCTCCTCATCAAGCTTTAACCAAAGTAGAAGTTCACTTTGCTATAATCAAAGTTCAGCGGTTATCAAAATTCCATGATTTCAGACCCAGACTTCATCGTGTTGGGCTAGAGGATGAGTAAACTGCAGTTCTACCAAGCTATTTTATAAAACCACAAAAGGGAACTACAACCAAACCATTCCCCCCACCACCACCCAAGTCTTCAGGACCAACTGGCAACTATTACAGTTCAAATTCCCAAAGACACTATTAATGACAACAGAAACCAGGTATAAATATAAGAGTGCTCTCAGAAATGGGCTAACCAGGGACACACAATCCATCCAGCAGCACTTCCTCTCCTCTTAGTGCTCTCTCACCCTTTATTATGAAGTTCAGCAGACACAAGCATCTGAAGAATGGCAATGGCCAGTACTTTCATAGCTCTATCTGCCAGGGAGCATTCTAAGCACTCAGAATTCTGAGGAAATCACGTTATTATCCTCATACCATAGAGGAGGAAAATGGAGCACAGAGCTATTAAGTAGTAAATAAGGATCACACAAGTAGTAAATGGCAGAGCAGGGATTCAGTCCCAAGGCAGAGGTTTCAAAGTCTGTGCTGCTACCACTTCCTGAAGCCATTTATTTGGAATTTGGCTTTTCCTAAACCTTAAATATCCTAAAGATGGCAAAGAGCCAGCAATGACAAAAGGGAGTAACAAATGTCACAAAGGCAATGCTGAGCATCTTTTGAATCTTTTCACTAATTTTAACTATAAGCCCAACAAGTTGGGTTATCATTCCCAGTTCACATTACATTAAAAGTACTAAGACAAATGGCATAGTGACTGCACCAAAAGCAGTCAGCAACAGAAGTGATAACCAAAACAACAGAAATCTGGCACCAGAACTAAAACAAACAACAACAACAACAAAAAGCCAGCAGTTGGTGTCATTTAACATTAGGGTTTAAGTTAGGGGCAAACTCTAGCCCATGAACTAAATTCAACCTACCCCAATAGATAATAACAGGTTTTACATTTTTAGATGGTTGGGAAAAACATACGCATACAAACAAGAATATGTGATAGAGCATACATGGTCTGCAAAACCTTAAAATATTTACAGAAAAGTTGTTTACTTTAGATAAAACTGTTCCATATACATCTCAGGTAGTCAAGGAACTCTGCTGATCCATTCAAATATTTACTGAGTAGTTACTTTGTGCCAGGTATTATCTCAAGCATTGAAGATGTATCAGTGAAACACTGTTTTCACATTCTAACTTAATAAAGGGTACTCAAAGTGACAACTCTAAAATGAGGAAACCAATGATCCAAGAGGAAGTGGTTGCAAGGCCCTTTGCAGGCAGATCTCCCTACCTACATAGCTTCTTTAGGGACGAAGTTGGCTCCCCGGCCCTCCAAACCCAGGACCTAGTAAGGGTTAAAGGCATGTTGTGGAGGGTAAGGGAGCATGCTGGAAAATGGCATATTAAGCACAAACATTCCCAGAATGGACTATACAGGAAATTAGCAACAGGCCCAATAGTTATAGGTGCATAGTCTTGAAATATGCTCAAAGAACTTTAATTTGTTAAAAGTTTATTTGCTACGTTCTTATTAAGTCGATAATGGTAAGTATATTCCTGAAGTATTTTTAAGCCTATACACATGCTGATAATTGAGAGTGACTTCTTTCAGGTAAGTAAATATTCATTAGGCTAGTGCCCAGCTTCTTTTGATACCATGTTTGAGGTCTTACTTTCAGAATCTATCCAAACTGGGTAACAATCAATACTGTTAAAAATACACTGTATAATTCTCATAAAGTAATGTAGCAAATGTTTCAAGTCTTCCATGTTGAAACATGGTCCTACACCAAAGCCTTTGAAGATGAGTAATAAAAATATGTACATTTTTCACCCAATCTCTTTAGTCGAGCAACTAAATCTCTCTTATCCATGATTCACAAATCATGTCAATGAAGTCAAAAGATTAGTGATAACTAAAGAGTGCTTCCTCCACTCTAAATTTGGTCTATTCCAGTTCCAAAAGCTTCTGATATGTTTTCTTTAAAGAAAAGCATTGCATCTAACAATCTGTTTAGATTCATACCACAGATTTATACCATGCTTCTTTTGTCTTTGATTGCTTTATGTGTGTGTGAATTTTTAAATGTCTGGGATAAATGATCATTCACAAGTATTAATAAAACAAAAACCCTTTGCGCCTGCCTACTAAATAATATCCTTACCAGCAACCATTTCTAGACATGAAACTATTGTGAAACAAGATGTCATGTGCCAAAAGTGTCCTGAGGAAGGTTTCACTCACACCCAAACGGTTTGATAACTACGTGGGAAAAGACGAGTTTCTCCACATACCACAAACAGTATCTCCAAGTGCGTAGTCACTGAAAAATTAAAGTCACAACAGGCCAGGCAGACTACAACAAAATTATTCCAGTCGACCCCTAATACCTAAAAACAAAGCTGGCCTCCTGCTCCGGAAAAATGGGTATTACCAAAACAAACCAAACCCAAACATTCCGTAATAAAACTCTTGTGACGACTTCCTTGCTTAGGAGCGCACGGGGTTTCCTACTACACTTCCTAAGTGTCAGGCCCTACGATGGGCGAGCCAAGGTCCCTGCCTTCTAGAGCCTCGCAAATCTAGCGCAGGGGAAGGACATGAACAGATTCCTAAATATCTAAAGGCATGGGAGATTCCAATATAGAATTGAGGAGCCCAGAGAAGGAAAATTTAATTCTGGCAGGGTGGGACTGCGGAAGTAGAGTGGAAGTGGGAAGGAAGGGTAGAGAGAGGTGTCCCAGAGGTGACTCTAGCTAGACCCTAGGGAGAGCGGGCGAGAAAGACTCCCCCGAAAAGGCTACGGACTCCCCCGAAAAGGCTACGGAAAGTGGCGGAGAAAGGCAAAAGTTAACCTACTCGGAACCACCCCCTCCCGTGTCCCGAGACGCCCCCGACCCTGCCTATACTCCCTCCTGACTCCCCCGGCAGGAGCCTCTGTGGCTGGGGATGCGGCGGGGGCGTGGGTGAAGTTCCCTTCCCCGGGCCGAGGAGGCTGGCGCCTCGAGCGTCGCCCCTCGTCCGGCGAGGTCGGGATAAGGGCGACTGGGGCCCCACCCAGCCCTCCGCGAGGCCGTGATGCTGCACCCTACGCCCGCCACTGCGCCGCGGACGCTCCCCACCGAACGCGGACACTCACTTTCTCGTGAAAGATGGACTCCATATTTATTTGTCTGGAGCCAACGACCCCCGCGCCGAGCCACCCCCCCCAGCTCCGCCCCCCGGCCCCACTCCTCCGCCCACCGCGCCCCGCCCCGGCCCTGCCCTGCCCACGTGCCTCCCGCAGACCAATCACCCCCGAGGGTGCGAGTCACGTGGAGGGAAGAGTGCGTGAACGCCGGGGCGGTAAACGCGGGGACACGTGACCTTGGTAGCGCGTTCTCCTGTCTTGTTATCCGGCCGTCTGGAGAGTGCTTCAGCGCCGCCTGCCGCCTGGAGGATCTTCTCCGCTTCGCACCCATTTCTATGGGTTCTTAGGTTTCTAGGGATCTGGACCACCCACCCGAGTTCTATGTTCTTTTTGCTTTCCACATAACTTTGTATTTTCTACTTATCATATCTGCGTATATAATTACTTAATATCTTCCTCCTCCTCCTCCTCCTCCTCCGCCACCGAAATCCTCGGTAACAAAAAGGCGTCATTGCATTCCCCCAAGACCTAGCACTTGTGTAAAAATGATAGTTAATATTTATATATCTTACTATGGGCTAGGCAGTCCTCTAAGTGCTTTGCATATAGTAACGAATTTAATACACCAACCTTTGATGTAGGTGTTGATATTATTCCTATCATACGCATGAGGCGCAGAGAAGTTAAGAACAGCACAATGTTTAACGTTGGATAGTTAGGTTGCCTTGCCGAGATTCAAATCCAGGCCGCTTATTACTAGTGTAGGTGTTCTGTCCCTAAAGAGCAAATATCAGTTGGGGGAAGTGAATGTCCAGTAAAGTGGGAGGGAGGGGTGGTATAAGGGATCAGATGAAGCTTAAAGAGAAGGATAGGTGCAGATCTTGCACATTAAAACCAGATTAAGATGTACTTTTTAAAGGCAGTGGGAAGCTATATAAAGATTTTAAAAGAAAAGACATGGTCAGATTTTGATTTTAGAAAGATCACTCTGGCTGTGGAAGAGACCATTTTGAGAGAGAAGTAGTAAGTACAGAGACTCAACAGAACTTGGTGAGGGATTTGGGAATGAGGGAAACAGAAGTGGTAGGGATGATGCCTGGGTTTCTGACCTAGGCAGCCACTGTGACAGGAGCCGTATTCACTGAGATCGGAAACACTAGAGTAGGAACAAGGTCTTGGGAAGAGAAGACAACACAGAGTTTACATTTTGGAGATACTGAATTTGAAATACCTGTGAGACATTTAGGTAATTATGGTGAGTAATGGTTGGATTTCGGGTCTAGGGTTCAAGAGGCTGGTTTGAGCTGTAGAATGGGGAGTTCTTGGCATCAAAAGTTAACTAAAACCATAGGAATGAATGAAATCATCTGAGGGAATAGAGAGAGATTGAGGATCCAGAGCTGAGCCCTGATGGGAGAGGAGCAGTAGCCAAGGAGGAGGGAGGCAAAGCAGGAGAGCTTAGTATTGTGGAAACTCTGGGGAGGCAGGGTTTCAAGGAGCAATCAGTGTCAGTTGCTGCCAACAAGTCAGCAACATAAGGATTTACAAGAGTCCATGAAATGGGTGTTGTTATGGAGACCAGTTCAGAGAAGCAGAAGGGGCAAAGAGAGGCAGGAGAATGGAGACTACCAGTGAGGCCCGGGTGGATTCAGTTGCCATTTATTAACATCTCTGTGTACACAGTTCACTGTTCTGAATTGGGGAAAGTCCATGTTCTTCAGGGAAATAAATCATAGTCTCATGAAGTGAAAAAAATTGCAAACCACTTTTTCTTTCCTTTCTTTTTTTTGAGACAGAGTTTCATTCTGTCACCCTGGCTAGAGTACGGTGGTGTCATCATAGCTCACTGCAACCTCAAACTCCTGGGCTCGAGTGATCCTCCTACTTCAGCCTCCTGAGTAGCAGAAATTACAGGCACATGCCACCGTGCCTGGCTAATCTTTTTTTTTATTATTATTTTCAGTAGAGATGGTAGGGGGGGGAGTCTCGTTCTTGCTCAGGCTGGTCTCGAACTCCTGACCTCGAGTGATTCTCCCATGCACTGTCAGCCTCCCAGAATGCTAGGATTACAGGCATGAGCCACTGCACCGGGCCAAACCACTTTTTGTCTTTTTTTTTTTTCAGTTGTAGTTGATGTCTTTCAAATGAATTATTGAAGCCAGGTGTCTTAGTCCATTTGGGGTGCTATAACAAAATACCTTAGACTGGTTAATTTATAAACAGAAATTTGTTTCTCACAGTTCTGGAGGCTTGGAAATCCAAGATAAAGGCTCCAGCAGATTTAGTGGCTGGTGAGGGGCGGTTCCTTGTAGATGGTGCCTTCTTTGTGTCCTCACATGACTGCGGGGTGGGGGGGGTGGGAGGAGCAAATGATTTGCCTCAGGCCTCTGATAAGGGGACTAATCCCATTTACCTCCCAAAGGCCCTACCTCTTAATATCAACACATTGGGATTATATTGATTATATTTCAACATATGAATTTTGCAGGGAGACAGACATTCAAACCATAGCACCAAGTATCTGGGAATCATTTTGATTCCTTTCCCACAATTTCTCAACCTCACCCCTTAGTCCAACCAGTCCTCAAATGCTGTGTATCCACTCCTAACTCTCTCCTCTGTCTTCATTGCTACTACTTAGTTCACACCCTCTTGGTGTCTTGTGTAGTCCAGTCCAAGGGTCTCTGAATTGGTCTTTTGATTCCACTTTCAGTATGTCCAATTCACAGTGCTGTCAGTGATCTTTCAGAAATGCAAATCTCCCCAGTTTTTCTTTCATTTAACGAGTGGAGTGTTACTCTGTCTCAGGCACCAGGACTGTGACCATCAAAAAGACAAATAGTCTCACCTTCATGAAACTTATATTGGGAGAGATTCTTAAATAAGTACCCAAACCCTCTTTCCTTAAAAATCCTTCAGTGGCTTCCCATTGCCATCCCGTTGCTGGCTTATACAGCTCTTATGATCTGGGCCAAACACCTGTGCTGATTTTTCTCCCCAAATTCCCTCACACCAGTTACTCCAGACTCTAGTCACACCACCATCTTCCCTTGACTTCTGGAAAGTTCACTGAGGAAAAGTCCTTTGTGCTAACATTATACCTTGCACATGCCTATATTAAAGCACCGAGTACACCATACTGGAATTATTACTTTATATTCTAAATTTTCAGCTTTTAAGGGTCAGCAGAGTCTTACTCTTTAGGTCAAGGGTTGGTACAAAACAGTGCATAAATGCATGACTTCTTTTCAATTGATTGGCACAAAAAAGTATAATAATAATTCAGTAGAAAGAAATTACTGAGTTAATTGGGAAAGAGTTCCTGGAGACAGAATAGACCAAATAGATGCACTTCCGGTAGGCTTTCTATGTCACTTTGGGCAACTCAGCTTTAATCTACTTCATTGAAATTTTATGTTAAGTGAGATTGCACAAAGATATTTCCATCTTCTTGAACATTGTATCTTTTAAATTCAAACTGGCATTAACTTTGTTACCTAAAACCAAATGGTTTAATAGAATTTTAAATGTCTGGCATTTTAAAATTTATGTGTGTTAATTTAAGTATCCTGAGTTCTGACAAGAATTAGTGATAACTAGGGGTTATTGTTTCATTGTAATATTACTTCTCCTAAATTCAATCTTACCTAAAACAAATTCACAAAATTTTGTTTCCAAGAAGAGGTAGTTGGACTTGACAAAATATATTTATTTATTTATTTTTTAGAGACAGAATCTCACTATGTTGCCC